GTGTGTTTGTGGGGTGTGTGTGTGTGTGTGTGTGTGTGTGTTTGTGGGGGTGTGTGTGTTTGTTTGTTTGTGGGGTGTGTGGGGGGGTGTGTGTGTGAGAATGAAATAGAATAGTCTTCGTTGCAGGGAGAGAAGGAAGGAGCGGAGATATCGTCAACGCACCACCACCCTCTTGACAGTAATTAAGATTGGCAGGATAGGTGGAGGCAGCAGTAAATAAACCATACTCTGTTCTCAGCTTTATTAACAGAGGAATAGAGTAGAACTGCAAGGAGGTGACGTCGAAACACTTGTAAGCCATCAGCTGGAGTACTGTACACAGTTATGGTCTCCACACTACAGGAAAGTTGTGAATGTATTAGAGAGTGCAGAGCGATTTACTCGAATGGTTCCAGATGACATTAAAGTAGGTAGAAAAGTAAGTTGCAATGAAGAAATTAGAAATTGACAAATGGATATGGATAGGTTGGGTGAACGGCCCAAAATTTGGCTCATGTAATTTTACACGGATAAATGTGAAGGTGTCCATTTTGGTCAGAGAAGTAGAAAGACAACTTATTATTTAAATGGAGAGATACTTCAGAGTCCTTCAGTGCAGAGGGATCGGGGTGTCCTCATGCATGAGTCGCAGAAAATTAGTATGCAGGTTTAGCAGGTAATAAGGAAGGAAAATGAAACCTTGCCATTATTTGCTAAACAAATTAAGTATAAAAGTAGGGAAGTATTACTGCAACCATACAAGACATTAGTGAGACCACACTTGGAGTATTGCGAACAGTTTTGGTCCCCTTACCTGAGCAGGAGTGTCGTTACATCGGAGGTTCTCTAGACTGATTCGAGAAATGAGGGACTGAGCAGTATAGGCCTTTACTCTCTGGACTTCAGAAGAATGAGAGGAGATCTAATTGAGGTGTAGAGATGCTAAAGGGGTTTGACAAAATAGGTATAGAGAGGATGTTTCCTCTTGTAGGCCAATCTAGAACAAAAGGTCATAGTTTTCGGATAATGGGGTGGCAAATTTAAAACAGAGATGAGGAGCAATTACTTCTCTCATTGGGTCGCGAATTTGTGGAATTTACTATCCCAGAATGCAGTGGATGCTGACGCATTGTGTAAATTTAAGGAGGAGATAAACAGACTTGAATTAGTAATGGGTTGAAGGGTTATGGAGAATGAGCAGGAAGGTGAAGCTAAGGCCGAGGTGCGATCAGCCAGGATCATATTAACTGGCAGAGCAGACTTGACGGATTGAGTTGTTTGTAGTTCCCATGTTTTTATGCATGTGAAACTTCAGCTTTGAGGATCAATTGAAGAAGTTGGGAATTTTCTTCCTGGAGAGAAGGCTGTAAGGAGATTTGATTGAGGTTTTCAAAATTGTGCAGGCTGGACAAGAGTAGATAGGGTGAAACTGTTTTTGCTCAGAAAAGAAACAAGAACAAGAGGACATAGGATCAAAGTGATGTGGAAATGAAGCAAGGATGATGTGAGAAAGATCTTTTTCAGACACCAAGTAGTTAGGGTCTGGAATGCATTGTCTGGAAGTGTGGTGGAGGCAGGTTCAATTGTGACCTTCAAGAGGGACATCGGATGATTATTTAGATAGTAATGGTGAGCAGGTATATGGGGAAAAAGGCAGGAGACTGGCACTCGGGAACAGAGCTGGTGCAGGCACAATGGGCCGAATGGCCTCCTTCTGCACCATAATAATTCTGAGAGTGGGGGATAAATGCTTGCCTAGCCAGTGGTGCCCACATCCCGAGAAAGTTGAAAGTAAAACGTCTCATAAAAGCATTATCCTTATATGTAAACAAGAATATAGGATGAGAGCTAGATGGACCATCTCAGATATGACTTAGACAGGCTTGGACATTATAGAGAGAAAATTGATGAAAGAATCTTTTTACATAAGAACCAGGTGACCCAGCCTCTTGGAGGCAGCTTCAGGAGCGCAGATCATGTAGGAGTTTGATTTGAAAGCAAGATCAAGAAGGAAGGACGGTGTGAAACTAGCAGAGTCACAGAGGTTTAGATGTTGGTGGGATATGAAGTACAGAGAGAAAAATTACAGGAGCAGGAATATGCTATGCGGTCCCTCAAGCCTACTGCACTATTTAATAAGATCATGGTTGATCTGATTGCGGCTTAGCTCAGCAATTCTGCCTCCCACCACCCCCACATCCCAAGTCAATCAAAATTCTGTCTAACTGAGCCCTGAACAATATTCAGTGACCCAGCCTCCACTGCTCCTTGGGGGAGAGAATTCCAAACACTAATGTGAAGAAATCCGTGCTCGCTTCCATCTAAATGGGAGATCACTTATTTCAATATTGGACCTTCTGGTTTTATACTCTCCCACAAGTACTCTCAGCATTTGTCCTGTCAAGCCCCCTCTTAATCCGATGGGTTTTAATTCTATTATGTAATGTTTTCATTATGTTAATTTTCATTATGTTATGTTTTAATGAGGTCAGTGGTTTATTCCGATTCTCTCTGCTCCCTCACTTCCTTGTCTTTTGCCGACAGGAGGCAAAATGGTGTGACAGAAGCCAAACCAGAGACAGTGCCCAAGGACATCAAACTTTATCTGGAAGCGAAGCCCATCACTCCTCTCGACGCCCTGGGTAAAGATCATGTGATGACCTGAAATTACCACAATTATAATGCTCTGTGATGAGACTTAGACTGGACGAATTGGGAAATAATTCATTTCCCTTCTTCTCCTGAAGGTGCTGACAGTAGTTCCTAGGTCATATCCTAACCTACACCAATTCAATTAGCTCATCTCTCCCTTTTGTTTGTTGACCGACTGTCAAGCAACTCCTCCATTTTAAAATTCTCACCCTTTATTTTCAAATCCCTCCATACCTTTGCCCCTCTCTGTCCCTGAAACCTCCTCCACCCTTACAAAATTTCTGCACTCCTTCAATTCCAGCCTGTTGAGGATCCCTTGTTTTCTTCGCTCTGCATGGAGCTGGAGGAACACAGCAGGTCAGGCAGCATCAGAGGAGCAGGAAAGTTGACGCTTCGGATTTTCACCCTTCATCAGGACACCCGAAATGTCAACTCACGTGCTCCTGAGATACTGCATGACCTGCTGTGTTCCTCCAGCTCCACACTGTATTGACTCTGACTGCAGCATCTGCAGTTCTTGCTATCTCTTTCTTCGCTCTGCAACTGATGGTTGTGCCTTCAGCTGCTTTGGTCCCACTTTAGAACATAGAACATAGAACATACAGCAGTCAGCGCAGTACAGGCCCTTCGGCCCACGATTTTGTGCCAACCTATTATCCTACTAAGTTCAATCTACCCTGCATATCCTACATTTTACTATCCTCCATGTGCCTATCCAAGAGTCACTTAAATGTCCCTAATGTATCTGACTCCACTACCACTGCCGACAGCACATTCCACGCACCCACCACTCTCTGTGTAAAGAACCTACCTCTGACATCTCCCCTATACCTTCCTCCAATCACCTTAAAATCATGCCCCCTCGTAATAGTTATTTCTGCCCTGGGGAAAAGTCTCTGGAATTCTCTCCCAAAACATCTTCATCGCTCTACATTTTCCATGGCTCAGTCTTAAAAATGCCTGACAGTCACTTGGATATACAACTGAAACAGGCGCCATGGTAACTTTGAAGAACACGTTAGAGAAGTGTTTGAAGGAAAGCGGGGTGAAGCGTTACGGGAATGTGGTGAACATATGGGATTAGGGTTACAGCCCCTGTAGGGAATGAACACCATCATGGTGGGCCAGATGTGGTGTAATTTTGGTGATTTTGTAAAATAGGACAAAGGTTAACTTGTTAATTCATTTGGTTGTACAGATATTCTGTGTAGCTGAAAAAAGACACATTTTGTCGAAGTGTTTCGTCTTACTCTCGCAGAATGACAGAAATGTTATGGTGCAAAAGGAAGCTGTTCAACCCATTATAGCTGCACCAACTTGTTAAAGAGGATCATTTAATCCCCTGCTTTTTCTCCACAACCTTTTCGATCCAAGTAATCATCCAATACCCTCTTGAATGCCCCAACTGAACCTGCCTCCACCACATTTCCAGGCAGTGCATTCTACAACTGAACTACTTGCTGTATGATAGAACTTTTCTTTTCTCACAGTTAGGATAGCACAATGGCTCAGTGGTTAGCACTGCTGCCTCACAGCACCGGGGACCCGGGTTCGATTCCATCCTCAGGTGACTGTCTGTGTGGAGTTTGCACATTCTCCCCATGTTTGTATGGATTTCCTCTGGAGGCTAGGTGGATTGGCCATGGGAAATGCAGGGTTACAGAGACTGGGGGTGGGTCTGGGTGGGATGCTGTTCTGAGGGTCAGTGTGGACTCAAATGGCCTGCTTCCACACTAGGGATTCAATGACCCCCTTGCTTCTTTCTCATATCACTTTATTCAGGATAATTTGCAAGCAATATCAAAATAAAGGGAAAAGAACATTTGTACTGTGAGTGGAAAGTGCTAATTTTTACTTCTTCTTTTCCCTTTAATTTAGCCCTTCGCTACTTCCTGGACTACCTGTGGCTGATGGATTTTGTCTTGTATGCGACTCTGGTTTACATATTTACTGAGGCCTACTACAGCCTGCTGACTGTCCAGGGAGAGGTGAATGTCGGTGTGCTCTGGTGCCTGCTCACATTAGCCTTTAGCATGTATCCTTCCTGTCGCATCCGTGCGTCCTCCGGATATAATGTGCATTAGACAAACTAACGTGAGCAGTGGGGATGCAGGCTTATCATTTAGGTTCAATGTCAACCAAAGTTCATTTGGTAGCTCACTCACTTAAAAGTCAAGAGCTCCCCGGTTTAAACCCAAGTCCAGACCCTCCAGACAAAATCTAGGGTGATATTCCCCATGCAGTACTGAGGGAGTGATGCGCTGTCGGAGGGTCAGTGCTGAGGGAATGATGCGCTGTCGGAGGGTCAGTGCTGAGGGAGTGCCGCACTGTTGGAGGGTCGGTACTGAGGGAGTGCCGCACTGT